CCCCGGTGCGCGGCCTGGGCCTGGCTGCGCACCGGCACGGCGCGTCCCCCAGCACAGCGAATCAAAGCCCCTGTCCTCTCCACCCGCTGGAAGGCCCCTTTCCGCTGTTTAGCCGTTCCTCCGCTCTCGACTCTTTTCTTTACTAATCCAATTTAAAAGCCTGTCAGCCCGCGATTAATCCAGCCCAAGAAAGGAAAAATCGAGGCTCAGCCAACTCCCTGAGGGCTTTCCGTCTTGTCTGGGCACGTGGAAAAGAGGCACTCCGTACTTGCAGTCTGTAACCACCATTCGAGAAGATTGCGATCACAATAGCACGCAGCCAGGTCTTCAAAGCAGCTAACTAGCTAAATCAAGATCTCTTGGTACAGGAACTCTCGGTATAACTAATTGAGAATAGCGGGTACAATGGGAATATTCAGCTCAGGAGCTTTAAGCAAAAAAAAAAAAAAAAAGCTTATATTGTAACTCTTTACGTGACCTGGATCTGACAAATCTTCTGTCAAACCTGTCAGGTAAAGCCTCAGTTAAGCATGTGAAGCGTTTGCTGAGGTCTTAGGGGAGGTTAGTGCAGTGACAGGACCATGACCACAGTCGGTGTCTCCAGTATCCGTCATGGTCCGCTGTCTTCTGCGGTCTCTTCTAGGTGACATCTTTCTGAATTACCGTTTTGCAGTTTCCTGTATAAACTAGGCAGAATACCAATTAAAAGAGTTAGCATGACTACTGGGGAAGAAGAATCCGTTCTTTAGAAAACAACAACTTAAAACCACATAACAGAGTTGGAGAGAGCAGCCGAATCATACAAACCACCAAAAGAAATGTTAGGACTGAAGAGGCAGTGTTTCCACACGTGCTCGTCAGAAGATGGGCGTTTTTACATTATTTCAAGAAGGGGCAGTAATACCTTTATTTGAAGTTCTACTGAAAATAGCTATTGTACTCTGAAGTGTTTTATTAGAGGTTTGTGGCAACCTTTCTTATTGATGTAGCAAATTGAAAACATGGTTTGTAAAAATGTTACTTAATATTTGATTAAATATTTTTGTCACAGTAACCAGCCAAAAGCAACATTTAAGAATTTAATGTTCACAGTTGTTTAATTTGGCCTTGCAAAACCTATTCCCAAAGGTTTATTTTATGGAACAGCTGCAGCTGAGGAGGTAGTGCCATTATTGGTCATATTTTCAGGCCCATGTAATTCAGAGAAAATTGTATCCTTTGTAACAAACACTAAACCACAAAAAGGTGCCTGAGGCAAGGCAAAAAAAAAAAAAAAAAAAAGAGAGAGGAAAAAGCAGATTTAAGACCAAAAGGATAGTTTTTCCTGAGATCCTTAATGAGCCTGTCCACTGCCAAGGAACTAAGATTTTCTGTTTCCAATGCTAATGCTTAATTGGAAACTGGTTATAAAATTACAGTAAGATTCATTGGGTATTTTATAACTGTTTCATAAGGGGGGGGGGGGCCCATGAGGGAATCCAGTAGTCATATATTATTTCTTGACTAGCAGGGACCTCAGCTCACGTAACTGCTTTAATACCCAAGAACTGTGCACATCCAGTCATGTCTTGTCATGAGAGCCATGAAGTGGTATTAGAAATGAAAGCATGGAGGTTATTATCAAAGTGAAAGACATGATATGTTATCAACCAGTAATCCATCGTAAAAGCTTCCATTAGGGGCACATTTTATATTTTTCTAGCAGCTCGATTAAGTCCCAGAATTGTGAAACCAATTTAAAATGCAATTTATCCATTTGCTCCAGTACCTTCTTTTCTGACATCAAACAGCTTATCCAGATTACCAGAAGCTTTAAAAGGTACAGCGGAGAATTTTAACATCCTCTTTCCCAAAACAGGAGATCGGGAAATGATCTTTCTTATTTGTTCTATTGATTGCAGATGATGTATGACGCCAGACAGATTTTCCTTTTCGGGGGGTTTTGGGGACTTTTTTTCAGGTTTCCTACTTCTATGTTTAAAATACTTTTTAACAGCTTCAGTGATTTGTTCTTCAAATTTCACCTCAGAAGTTCTAATTTCTTATGCACTGCTTGTTAGCTTATGTTCCTTTCTGTTGGCTCCAATAGAAACTAGCCTTTCCAGTTAGGAAAGAATTCAGTCCGATTCAAATGACCTCTTGAGCCTTGCTATTTAGCTAGACTGCTTTACTTGCTTCTCTGCCTGTTCTTTGGCTGGTTATGCACGCTTTCTCACACTGTTTCCTCAACTCATCCCTGTGCGAACTTCAAGAATTTTATTTTGTGTTTGACTGTTTACTAAGTTACTGCAGTTTCCCTTTAAGATTCTACATCACTGTATCACTGTGGCAGGTTTTGGTAGCTTTCAAAGAACAAAAACAAAACAAAAAAAAAAGATTCCTGACTCTCTAGGAACAATTATAAGTGCAAAAATTGTATTAATGACAACTGACTTTTCAAGCTAATGCTCAGAGTAACTTTTCAAGTTAATCCTCAAAGCTTTTCCAAAAAAAAAAAAAAAGTATTAGTATTAGCCTTTTAGTACAGAAAAAGCTTAGGAAAGCTTGAATTAAAATGGAAATACTTTCCTCTATGGTACCATATTTTTCATTATTCTTTTGGTATTGTGTCAGATAATCTTCTATAAAATTACATTAACATGGTATTAGTTTCTTTGTCTTTAGGACTGCAACGAGAAAAAAAAAAGCCAAGTATGCCCACAGACAGAACTGTATGAGCAAGCCTGCAAGAAAGTGTAGCATAATGTAACTGGACTGTAAAGGTGTCAGATCCTAACAGAGTCCAAGAAGAGTATCAGCTACTCATTTAATTCACTGAATGAGAGCTGCGTCTGGGTAAAGGTTTTCCAGGAAAGGAAATTCAAATTAAAAAGCATGTTTTACCAGAACTACCAGAAGTCTTTGTTGCTTGTACTCACTGAAAACTGGAATAGCTTTCCATCTCCAAAAACAGAACCTTAGTGTTTTGGTTTATTTTTTTTTTAATAGTGCACTATTTCTATTATTTGTTAGGAACTTCATTTGGGAGAGAAACATATCAACCTGACTATTCTAATTTAAGGATGAGGAATGGGGATGTCTTTTTTTCCCTAAAGCAATACTGTCCCTCAGACGGTGCTGTCCACCTGTCATCTTCTCTAATAACTTTTAGAACTGCTGACTTATTTTAACTAAACTTGGCTCAGAAAATGCAGAGATGCCAAGTTCTTTTGTGGAAGAGAGTACCTTCAGCCCCCGAGCTGCGCGTGGCAGTATAAGCTCAAGCAGCCTGGACACAGCAATCCCGTAGTGATTGCCACAGCTTCCACACCACTCGATGCCTGTTGTACAGCTGATGGTGAAGGGACATAGACAGAACAGAGGTTAACGGAGAGGGAGTTTAGGGGATGCAGCTGGTAACATACAAGAGTGTTTAGATGTCTAGGTAAAAAACTAAAGATATTAGAGCAAAGGACCATGCACTATTTTATAAGCTAACAAGGTGTGCTGTTTTTCCTTTTTAGGGGGTTTCCTTTTTAGGGTACAAGGGGCAGAAAGACACGTGCTGTAACAATTGTTACTGCAATTTGCTTTTAAGGAGGGGGCATTAGACAGGAAACTTTTTAGTTAGT